TAGTGAGTGAGGTAATTTGAAGGTGCTTTTCGAAATACTAGGAACAGTGAGATGTACAATTATATAGCTATTTCTGCAAATTTGAAGGTGCTTTTCGAAATACTAGGAACAGTGAGATGTACAATTATATAGCTATTTCTGCAAATTTGAAGGTGCTTTTCGAAATACTAGGAACAGTGAGATGTACAATTATATAGCTATTTCTGCAAAACTAAAATTTACCAACAAGAACTAGGTATTTCTACATTTGGTCAATTGATTTGTACTTTTGTCTTGGTTTGGTTTTTACAGAAATTTTTTGACTAAAAAACTAAAGATGCAAGTTTTGAATATGTTGTTGGTGTAGAATAGAATCCTGTATATCTGCTTAAAGATAAACCTCATGGAATTCAGAGGGACTCTTCATTTATAGAAAGAATAGCTGGTAAAATTAGAGAAAACTGAAGAATGTGCATGTGGCATAACATGGGAAGAATGATCTATTTTACTGACAAATAGTGAAATTAAGTATATTAATAGCCAATCAATATTTTGATGGGTTCATATACACTAAACATCTGGAGAAAATAAAATAGATTTTCATTTCTGACTGAATGACTCTTTTTCCTGAATGCATCAGGTTTTTGATAAAACAAATATCAGTATTTGAAATATCAATAAAATTATATAAATAATAGAGGTTATGATTATTTCCTAAGCATACATGCCTTTCTTAAACTGAAGCAAGATTCAGTTTCAATTCCAAGATGATCAAATGTCTTTTCCCCATGAATTAGGAGTTTGGCTTGATGTATTGTACACCTAAAGACACATAGCAAAAATAAATGCATTGTCCTTATTAAATTGTTTTCAACTCAAACTTTTAAAATGAGGTTCTTTTAAAACTAATCCAAAACAGCAGTATTTTAAGAAGCATTTTTAATAAAAAGAAAACACTGAAAATTTGAAATAATTATATGTAATTGTGAAGAAGCTATATTTTTTACTGTGTTTAAGGCAAAGCTGTTTAAAATATTTGGCTTCTGGGTTTGTTGAGCTTCATTGGCTTTGTCATTCTGACTATCTTAGATTAGATCATGAATTTAGTGGAGAGTTTTGCATGATCCAAGGAACTGGATGTGATGATTTTTGTTCATTCTGTTTGTTTTCCTGTGAACAATTATTTAAATAATAAAGTGAACACTATTGTAATGTTTTACTACCATGCAGGTTAAATTAAGTATTAAATGATGCTTAATAAAAAGTAACCTTTGTTCTTATGCTAAGGGTTATGCAGACTCTTACGTCATGATTTCCATAGTGAAATCAGGCAGTGACAGTTCCAAAAATGGTGTGACTACTGACCTTTACCTTTCAAGGCAGTTATGGGAATTGTTATAAATTTATTTGACTCATGATAAAGTCAAAATGTCAGTTCCCCACACCAAACACTGTACCATTTCACTTAGAGTTAGCCTAACTATTGCCATCTTCAAAAAATCTCTTGATATTTAAGAATGATTCTAACTTGGCATTTTTTGAGTTAAATTCTCAGGCAAGTCTTCCCCCATTTTCACATTCTGATCCTCTTGTGCAGAATTCTATAATTTATGTGGCATTTAATTTTAAAATATGGAATTATTTTCATCTTTTCCATCAACATGTTCTACTTAAAAGTGTAGCAGTACAAATATGTATCTGCTCAAATATAACAAAGATGTTCTATTTAAATTATTTTAATCTATGTCATCTACTTAGAATCACATTTGTGAGATGGGTAGCCTTATAAATTGACATAAAGATTTGCAGTGACAGCCCCAGTTAAAGGAAAAGACAAGTATGCTCTTAAGGGACTGAATATAACTAAACTATTATTGAATTTCCCAAATTACTGTTCTGCAACTGTTCAAAATAGAAAAATGAAGAACTGAGAGGACTGATATAAAGATCTATGGAAGATGTTTATGTTTGATAATGTAAGATGAATATTTTAAACACTTTTTGGAAGTCTCTGTCATTCAGTGATTAAGATTTTTTTTCTACTTAGATGTTGACAGAAGATCTGATAACATTTAATTCAGAAAGTGCTTTTTGTTCAAATAAGCCGCTTGAATTACTATAGCTTATTTTCTTTTGGCCAATACAGCATACAAACATGCTATTTCTGAGTAAGCAGCTTTATGCAAAATGTAGATAATGAGTGATAAGTAATGAGCAGAAGAGATTGAAGATGGGAATTAGGAAAAAAAGAAATTTAACTCAATATACGGTAGTTTCATGCAACACTGTTCACCATATCTGTTAATACTTTTTATTCTTGTAAACACTAGTTTTTACAATTCCTTCACTCATTCATGCAATTTTTTGTTCATTAAACTTCTTAATTTGCTCATCTTAAAAATCACATCCGTTCCATTCAAACATGAGCCGTGGTGGCACAATGGCTAGAATTCAGTACTGCAGGCTAACTCTGCTGACTGACATCTTCCAGCACTTTGGGAGTTCATTTCTCACTAGCTCCAGGTTGACTCAGCCTTCCATACTTTCAAGGTCAGTAAAATGAGGACCCAGATTGTTGGGGGCAATATACTGAGTGCAGTAGCAGTTAGATTTATATATCGCTTCAATAGTGCTTTACAGCCCTCTCTAAGCAGTTTTACAAAGTCAGCCTATTGCCCCCAATTAAGCAGTTTACTGCACTCAGTAAACTGCTTAGAGAGGGCTGTAAAGCACTATGAAGTGGTATATAGGTCTATTGCTATATCTGTATTCAGCTTTCTGTTCATCCTTTTTCAGATATTTGTTTTATGATTTGATCTTCATTCATTATTTGTAATAAAATAATAAAAAATAAAGGATTTTCCATGTGCAACAAAAAATGAATTAGGTGAAATGGTTTTGAAATGTATATCTGTTTAAAATACTAATGTAAATGTTCAATAATCATCATAATTATTTTCAATACTGTTTCAGAATGCTTATTTATAATATTCATTTGTTTGCTTGTTTACATGAATTTTCAATTCAGTACATTATTTAGGAAAGTAACTTTGGTGTCTATGTTTATTTTTAGGTTCACCAAAAATCTATCACCTGATAAAATCAACTTGAGCACATTGAAAGGTGAAGGTCAGCTAACCAATATAGAGCTTGATGAAGAAGTACTTCAGAATATGCTAGATCTTCCCACTTGGCTTGCCATCAACAAAGTATTTTGTAATAAAGCTTCTATTAGGGTGAGTAAATTACTATTCCAGTTAAGAAATTTGGACAATTTTCATTCATGTTGCTCTTAAAATACTTAGAATCCAGTATTTGAAATGATTTAAAATCTTTTTTAAGCTCAATAGGCTGTAATAAAGGAAACTCTTTTTGAAGCCTTCAATTTTGAGATATAGTCCGGGATTCTTTCAAAAGAATCAAACTACATTCTTTCTACTGTTGAAAGGAAAGGGTTCCCGGTCCGTTCCCAGCCAGGAGTCACCACCGATGCTGAAAGAAAGTTTTGTGAAGACAGCTGCCTGGAAGTTATGAGTTTTATTGAGGAAAGAAAAAAAACGGGAAGGATGAGACACAGCTCCGATGCCTTACACATTTTGGTTCTCCCTCTTATACAGTTTTTTCCCTTTCAGGCTTTTGTGTGAAATTCAGATTTACAAAGGTTCTTTTATTTTCCAGAGCAAGGAATAGGAGGATCTAGTGGATGGTATTGACACGCCCATTTGGCCACGAGACTGGGATGAAGCTGAAGACACGCCTCTGTGCTCCACCCTTCCTTCTCCACTTCATCTCAGTCCGGCTAAAGAATGAATTATATTTTTAACTTCTCCTGCGATTTCTATCTCTACTGGAACCTCCTTGCCTCTGCAGCCACCGTAGCTAGCTCTCTGCTCTAGACTGTAAGTAGCTCTACGTGGTTTTCCTTTCTAACCACCAGGGAGTGTTACTTTGTATCTTTGGGATCGGACAGAGCGCTGAGGTTGCGGCAGCTGTTTCCGGCTTTGCCAACCACGTGGCGCCGATCCCTGGGGGTTTTATGCAACCGGCTGGCTAGAGGCTAGGGATTCCCAGGCCAGAGGCCCCACCCCCATTGCACCGATCTGCTGGAAATGGCTTCAGTGGCTG